TTTAAACCTCACATTTAAATATCCGATTGCTTATTTTTATCACTATCAAATCATAACATGACCAGAGGCTGGGCAAAAAGCAGTGCTGCTGCTGCTGCTCCCCCATCCCCCCCTTCATTTGTTTTTAATTCCAGGAGTAATTCCCACCTGGTTATCGGACTCTGTCTCGTTTTCATCAAAGCCGCAGGCGTCGTAATAATGAGGGAAAGGTTCTGACCAGCCGTCCTCTGTGCAGTTCCTGCTGATGTCCCCTGTGCCAAAGTGGGAATGGGACACTGTGGGAGCAGACCCCAGGGCGTGCCCTCCCTCCCTCCCTCCCCTTGAAAAGGAAACCCCACAGCTCTGCTGGAAGGGCTGTTTATCTGAGCATCCATTCAACGATTTTAATCTTGACATTTAATGGTGTCTCTGATGATCCAGTTACCCGGGGTTGGCAATGACTACAGTTGGTCACCAGAGAGCAGGAAATATGTAATCAGAGTATTCAGTGGCTGCAGGCCTCCAAAAAGCTCATTCTCAAGTGGGTACCTAAATCAAGGGGCAGCTAAATGTGCAGTTCTCTCCATTGATCCTGAAAGGTGTCTCGGGAATGCAGCTTTGCTCTGGACATCCACAGTTCAAGTGGCCACTGGGTAAGTCCAGGGCTCCAACATAAACTCCAGTCTCTCTCTTCATGGCTATATGTTCATTTACAGAGGGTGTAAATTGTCAGTTGGCAATTTAAAACCTGGTTCAGATGTTCTCACACTCCTCTGTCTATTAATTATTCCAATTCTGGTCTGTAAGCTCGATTTTAAGCAAATATTTGCTTAAATACCCATTTTTTTTGCCTGATCTCCTATAAAGACTAGACCCTGCCTGGCTTTCACTGACACACTGAGGCTTAAAACTGCACTGCAAAACAAGAGCTGGGGGTAGAAGAGGAAGGAATCTCTTGACACTCGCTTTGCTACGAGGCTGCCTGAGCTGGGACAGCCCCTGTGATGCTCTTTTGGAGTATAATTATCTTGCCAGAACTCAGTGCCCTGGCTAAAAAAATATAGGGCTGGGCTTCTGACTGCACTTCTTCCTCCCCAGCACAACAGAGCAACTTCCATTTACTGCAGTTTTTGGGAGTTTCAGCTGTACCTTGACCAAAACTGACGGAAATTTCCAAGGTTTGGGCTTACTTTTTGTTGTGAAGGTTGTGCTGCTTTGAATTCTTAGGGCAGTTTAGTCAAGCAGCTCATGCATGACCTTATTTTTAGAGGCTGGGTTTACCATCCATGCAGCAGAATTTATCTCTTTAATGAGGGCATTCATTGGAAAACATTGCAACGCTTGGCAAATTTGGGTAAGTGACTCCTGCACATTCATCCCTAGTTTTTCTGTGGGAAATAACAACTGAATCGTGGTGTTGACTGTCTTTAGCACCATTTAGTAATTACTGTTAAGCAGGTAGATCTCATTTATAGCAACACACTTCCCTCGATTGCAGGGCTCAGCAGTGGAGGAATAAATTTTCATAATACTGCTAAAAGTAACACGGCAGAAAATATGTCATGATAATTAGCACTGATTAGAAAAATAATACCAAAATGGCAGGAATAAAAAAAATCTCTGAGCTTCCTTTTTAACAGAGATAAATAAAAGGAGAAAAAAAAATAAAAATCTCTAGTTTTCTTTCTTACCTAGGGGAGACTGGGCTGTGCTTTCCAGCAGGTCATAATCACCTGGAAAAGTGGAAATTTGGTATGAAATTGTTTTGCTTGTGTTTTCTATTAGGACCCAAACTGGTCTCTGTGGAAATCAGTGAATAGGATGCAATTGATTTTTATTGGTTTAGATGAGGCCCAAAGGCAATAAATCCTTGATTCTGTCTTCTCAGGAAGTAAACACGGTTTTACTTGTGAGTTTAAATCAAAGTTGAACCTCTAAAATTAGAAGATTGCAACTGCAAACAGTGAGCACAGAGCTAAAAACACAGACAATCAAACTAGGAAAAAAATTGATTGTTAAATTATATATAGAAGTCAAATACTGTATCTTTAGGAATTTAGATTTATAAACCATAGGTATTTAAATTTGGTCAGTTTTCAGAGAGTTAATGAAAAATTGTTTTCATCCATCAACGACAAAAAGCAGTAGCTAGTTGGTTTTAGTAAGATAATTTAATTTAGTGGGTTTGGGTTAAATCACATTGATTTACAAACACTTATGTGATTTCTAATTTCACTTTTTATCTGAGAGTTACAAAGAACTAAATGTCATAACACAAAAGCAACTTGCCAATACTCTGATATTTCCACAGTTTTTGAGGACAGAGGTGCCTAAAAGGTAGGCAGCACAGCTGGTTCTTACCTGCGTGGGTTTGCCCCAAATTATCCACCTCCCAACCTGAAATGAGAAGAATAAAAGTAATTAATCATTTCCTGGTAATATTTTGCAATGTAATGTTGATAACAGTTTGCTTCCCAGCAGAGGAATGGATGCAGCAGAGCCCAGAGAAGAACTGCAAGTTTAAATCTCTATTTCATTATCAGTCCCGTGTTTTTGCGAATGGAAAGTGGTTTTCAGAAGATGGTTGATTGCACTGGATTGTTAAATATCTGATTATCAGGAAATTTGATCAAACTCCAGGAACAATAAGAAAAATCGATGAGGGAGCTTTTTTTTTCTGATGATTTTTTTCCTTTTCTTTTGGATATTTTTAGATAAGGGGGAAGGTTCTGAAATAAGAAAGGCCCACACTTCTTACAAAAACACTGTGCCAAAATCCATGGTGCTTTGTATACTAAAAATGCAGATGTTACAACAACAAAAATGTCCCTTTCCTTTCTTTATTTCCTTTTCTTTTCTTTTCCATCCTTCTATCCCTCAAAACAATATTGCTGGGAGTCCCTAGATCCAAATTCCCACACAACGTGGGAAATATTTAATCCCCAAACGGGCTGAAGTCAGACTTTTGTGGCCCCTCAGTGGTTCAGGTTGGGTGTTGGGGATGCAGCAGCCATGGGGTGGTGCTGCTGCATCGTGAACAGACACCGAGGGGCCTCGGGAAGCTGCTGCCAAAAACATTTCCTGCACTTCGGTGACCACTGCAGCAGGTGGAATGTTCTGAGCAGCTCAGTTCTGCATCCTCCAGGTTGCTCCTCTTTTAACCCTAATCCTGATGGTCCAGTATTAATTAGGGGTTGCAAAAAACCTTCAGATTGTGTGAGAAGGTTTTTACTAACAGTAAAATCCAAAAAAAAAACCCACAAAAAACCCACCTGATTTTGATCCCATGGGAAAAGAGAAAGCATTGAAGGATCTACAATAATTCAGGGCAGCATGAAATGCCTTTTCCAGTTTATACTTTCTCAGATTCCTCATCATGTAATAATTTAAAATCAATCGAGTTCTTTCTCTCTACTATAATAAATCAGGTATCTTTTTTTTATTTGCTGAGGTAGAAAAAAAGAGGGTTTAATGTGAAGGTGAAGTAGAGAGCCCAGAAAACCCCTCTGAAGCGTCAGGGAGGATGTCCTGTGACTGTGGATGGATGTACTGAACCCCAAACCTCCACACCCACCACACCAGTGACTCTGGGGGGTGAGCACTGAAAGATGTGGTAGGAACACTGCTGGTCTCCTGCCTCATCCACCCAGTTCCAGCTGCTGTGAGGATTTTACATGGGAGAATTTAGGTTGGAAATTAGAAAAGGTTCCTCCCCCAGAGGGTGGTTGGCACTGAACAGGCTCCCCAGGGCAGTGGGCACAGCCCCAAGGCTGCCAGAGCTCCAGGAGGGTTTGGAAAACACCCTCAGAGACAGGGTGGGATTGTTGGGGTGTCCTGTGCAGGGCCAGGACTTGGACAAGGATGATCCTTGTGGGTCCCTTCCAACCCTATGATTCTATAATTCTAATTCTTGTGTAGTTGCAAATGCTGGGTAAGCCTGAAAATTCTGAGGAGAAGCCACCAATGGTCTGGGCAAACCTTTTCCAGCAGGGATTGCTGAGCTGCTGCACCAGCCTGACCTGGCAGATGCTGCAGCAGAGCTGGGGTTGTGCTCCAGCTTCTTGGCAGAGTAACAGGGGTGGCTCTGCAGAATATTTTGGACAGAGCTGTTTGCCTCCTCAATCTACAGAACCCCAGCGAGACAGCTCAGACACGTGGTGGTAAACTCCAAATTCAGGATACAGCTATTAGGTTGTGGTGTGGGAGTTTTTACCAGTGGGTTCAGTTGGCAATCAGAGGGTCAATGAGCAAACCACTGTTCCTTTATCTCTGTCCTTCCACAGCATGGGCCACTCAGCTCTCATGGACCTGGCTCCTCACATGAGGTCACCTCAGCCTAGGCCTTACAGGGACCCCCAAAAAATGGGCCAGAAGAAGCTGCGAGAAAAACTAAACAAAACAAAACAAAACAAAACAAAACAAAACAAAACAAAACAAAACAAACCCAACAAAAAACCTCTTTGACTCATAAAAATCCATTTTATTTCATCCTTTATGGAGTAATCGGACATACAAAAATATCCAGAATTCTTTCTGGAGAAAGACCAGGCCACTGCTGGATGGATTGAAGCCTGATGTTCCTGGCATCCTGGATATTACACTGATGGCTCAGAAAAAAAAAAAAAAAAAAAAAAAAATTTCCTTATGTTTAAATGCTTTAAAGGTTTTTTTTTTCCTATGATCTATGAAATAAAAATTACCCTCATTTCACTCCAAATAGAGGTAGTAGTAAGGCACATTGATGTTAAAATATTGGATTTGAGTTCATTTTGAATTTCATGACATCCATAATAACCCTGAAACATCACAGTAATTTAGGTTTTCTGACATGAATAGGCTTTTTATAGAGATATTTTTAATATATACACAAATTATTATCGCATTTTGCTGTGCTTGGCATCATGAAGGGATTCACACTTCGAACAAAGTTAATATTCTGATTGCTCTAAGAGCAAACTTGCCTTATATTAAGGCATTTTTCTATATATCTAAGCCCTACTAATGCACTGAAGGCGGTTCCAGTGCAACCTTTGACTGTATAGGCTTTTAGGCTTGATCCATCAACCTCATTTTCCCTAATAAGCTACTGGAAAGTCAATTAGATTTATATTGAACATCGTGCCCTGAATTACAACTAAAAGTCAAAAGTCCATCTATTAAATGATGGAATAACATACACATAGATACCATTATATTTGTGTGCACATATACATATATATATTAATATTATTTATATTAATATTATTCATATTAATATTATTTATATTTATATTTGTAATCATATTTATATTTATAATCATATTTATATTTATATTATTTATACACAAGGACATAATGAGGGAACATTCAGCCACCATCTGAAATTCCCTAAATTCCCTGTAACCCCTTTAAATTCCTGTGTGCTGCTGCTGCCCTTCTCTCAGACAATGTATCTTTGTGTGTCCTGAACCAAAATATTGGTGTTTACTTGACAGAAAGCCATTGCAGTGTTTGGGCTGTGTTTGCCCACCTGTAGGAAAATGCACTGCAGTTCACATGGAATTATTCCTGTAACATATTTACACATCCAGGGACAGAACCTGAGCTTGCATTTGAGCTGGGGTTGTAGGGAAGCCCAGACACAGGGCAGTCCCTCCCAGTTTTCACACTATTCCCGAGAAATGGTATTTTTGTGGGTTGTTTTTCGTTCAAGAAGTGCCTTTCTGACTCAGAAAATTTCCTCCTGCTGGGTGGGCAGGACTGGAGGGCCCCTCACTGCACGAGCTGCCACAGGAGCCTCTCGTGTCCTCACCCTTAGGGCATAAACACCAAGGAACTGGGGCATCAGACTTCACTGCTGATGAAGAGGAGCACCACTGACATGATTACACGATGATATAATGAAATATGTTGCTCTCCCAGAAATGAAAAATAAATAAATAATGATTTTCATCCGCATTTCGACCTGAAACCCATTTTAATGGGATTAATTCAAGGATTATGTTTTTGAGGGACAGGACAAGGGGGAATAGCTTTAACCTGTCAGAAGGCAGGGTTAGATGGGATATTGGGAAGAAATTCTTGCCTGGGAGGGTGGGGAGGCCCTGGCACAGGTTGGCCAGAGAAGCTGTGGCTGCCTCTGGATCCCTGGAAGTGTCCAAGGCCAGGTTAGAGCAACCTGGGCTAGTGGAAGGTGTCCCTGCCCATGGCAGGGGGTGGAATGAGATGATCTTTAAGGTCCCTCCCACCTAAGCCATTCTATAATTCTATTATTCTATGATAATTACATCTTAAATATCATGATTTTATGTCTTACGTGAATGACACCTGTGCTTTTCACATGTAGCTAAACCCAAAATAGAGACATGTGGACACAACATCAGCTATTAAACAGAGTCTTACAACACCACTTATTAAATCAAGAACTGCTCTCAATGAACTCCTGAAAAAGCCACTGTTATCCTTGACACAAGATGGTTTCTCCAGCACATTGACAGACTGTGCTATTCACTGTTTGACCAGACTGTAAATGTCACTCTTTGGGAAGAAATGCAAATCTTTTATTAATGCTTTAATTGATTTATTAATTAGATGTTATTTGCAGTAATGCTTAGAGATCCTAGAGAATATCCATCAGAATGTTGAACTGCCAGAGATCAAGTACTGAAAATATTGCTTATTTCTGTTTTTTGTATGAAAAGGGGAAAGAAGGAGGAGGGAAAAAAAAAAGTGACAGGAATTGCCAAAGGCTCCCATTGAGGTGGTGGCAGAGACCCAGCCCTTTCCTGCCCTTTCCTTGCACATTTATCAGACCTTCTTCCTTGATTTTTATTTACTGAGACCCAGAAAACACATTTCACCCCTTGCTACGCTCCAGCTGATGAGAAATCCGACAGGAGCAATTGTTGCTCCTGATTTCGAGCGGACAGGACCGGCAGAGCTGCGGCCAAGAAACAGCCCGTGCACGGTGAGTCTGGGAGCTCAGAGCAGCCTTTTAGATCCTCTCCCCCGTGCCAAATCCTGGCTGCTCTGGGTGTCAGCTGGCAGGGCACCTGCTTCATCTCCCGCAGCTTTGTTTATCTGAACACAACCGGCGTTTAACCCTTTTGTTCCGGCGTTTGTCCCTTATTAGTGGGCAGGGCAGGAGGGGGTGAAAGGCTTCCAAAGGGGATGTTCCATCCCAAAATGTGTTGCCCACGATTTCCCCCTCATTCCTGTTTTTCCCATCCCAGGGTTATGAGTTGCAGGTCTGGTTCGCACAGGTAATCCCTCGAAAGGTTGGATTTTAACAGCACTAAATCAAATGTTCAAAGTCTGCACTGATTTTACTGGACGTTAACTGTGTCCCTTCAGAAAGTGCAGAGACAGGGGCAAGGAGAGGCTGAGGAAAACATTTCCTACAATCCTTGCTGTCCAGC